CACCACTTACAGGTTTGATTCTTTTCCTGTTAGGTCCTTTTCAGTATCAGATTTTTTGGTGTAATACTCATGATAGTACCCTCCTTCCTCCCAGTCGTATGGCTGACTCTCGGAGTAATCTAGCCTGGCACAAATCTGCAATTAAAGTTTGATTTTCCAAATGCTTTTTTTTACAATATGCGTCTCCTCTACCCTCTCTCCTTCCCTACGATCATTAAATGCCTCACCTTATTCAGTTGTCTACGTATCATTTCATAGTTTGGTTTCGATTTAAATTCAAGATGTCGAATATGATCGTAAATCATGTACATTTCCTGAGGACATTTCAGCAGTAGTCGCGAACCAATATTCTCTTTTTTCTTCTCAATCACTTTATCCTCATCGTTTCGCCATATTAGCTTGCCCTGACAGAGAGGTTTAATTCAGATTCAGTGCTCAAAACTTTGAGCTGGTGCTTTTAATAATAAATTGGGGCACTGCTTACTGCCATAAATTCCACTGTCATGTAGAGCCAAGCCCACAAGTCATCCCTCCTGCCTTGGTCTAGTTTTTTGTGCATGTTCGGCGAACAATACTTGCTTGTACCAAGAAATGCAACCTGTTTTCTTGGTGGTCGATGCCGTACCTCGTTCTCGTTCAAAACTAGCTGAATAATCGAAAGTTGCTTTCATGACCCCAAATGGGAAAAAAAAACTTATTAACGCACAAATCTCCTGCAAAAACCGAGATCAAGTAAATAGACGATTCGCTCGGAAGACCAAGCAAAATTACTGGCTTTAATGTCTCTATGCAAGATGCCGGTACGATGTAGGTCGTGTATAGCCTGCAACAATGTTGCACATGAGTCTTAGTACGTAGGAGTTTGCACTAGTACCTCTAGGCATTGTCGCGAAAGCCTTACTGCTGTTGAGCGAGTAAATCGAGACTCAGGCGTCATACGACGAAGTCTAAATACGGTTTTGGCATATCTACAAACGCATTTGAGGAAATTAAAATATATCACTTTGCTTTAAACGAACTATTGGAAATTCAAATGTTATCGATTCAGTCTCTTAACAGGAAAATTGGAAAAAAAA